AAAAGAATGCAACAGTTTCAATAATTAATAACTCAGTAAATAATGGATGAAATGGCGTAATTTTTGCATCAGAATAAAGAGGAAGACTATGAGTTTATTTACAAACCTTAATAAGTCTTGATGTGAGCACCATTCACATTCAAATTGTTCTAGCAAATCAAGGTAATTATCCCCGGCGATCGTGTTTCTCGCTGAAAATTATGCTGAACTGTAATGAATATCTCCGCATACCAAAGCAAGCATTGAGCCTTCTGCTGAATGGTGGCCATTGTACTGATGGGGGTGAGACGCGCGCCAAAACAGGCACCAATTAGGAAATTCCCTCGCGCGCGCATTTCGAGCTGCCAGCGACATCTATAATGGGATATAAGTAAGCTCCCAGTCTTCCCTTTCATTTCGATGCAAAGATCACTGCGTTTCGTCCATTACTTATCGAGTTATTAATTTTTGAAACTGTTGCATTCTTTTATGGACACCCTGTATATATATAAATATTCGGGGATTGCAAGAGATGGAATGCCTTTGGAAAATAGTTTTCGAAATTCCGGCACGGTCATTTACCAAGCCGCTGCTGCATTTTTATGCGACTGATAATAAGTCGGCGTTCCCAGGCCGATCCGGAAAGGAAAACCGGATCGGATCGAGTCCGAGCGAGAAATTTGCGCTTAATAATTGCCGGACGCATTTCGAACGCGGAGGGAATATTGAGTACTCGGTCCCAATAGGAGAGTCTTTTGGGGGGACGAAGCGGTTCATGGACTAGCAGATTCGGGTCCAGAAAATTGTTATCACTGAAGCATCTGCAGTTTATGCGAATTTTTACAATTCATCCACACGAGTGAAAATAAAATTTTCATTCCGCTTCGAATCTCCAGGTGAAAAACGTTTCTTCTGGCGCTTGGAAGTCCAGAGTGAGTAGATGTTCCGCCTTTTACGATCAACGTCTCTTAGGGGTGAAAATGGCTGAAGAACCCAGAAGAGTTGCTTCAACTGACGAGATGAACCCCGCCTATTAGGCCGACACCTGCTCGCAGTCAAAGCATTCTTCAATGAGTTAGTCGTGAAATTCCGAGGGAAATTCCATCTTAACGATTCATGCTGCGATCGCGATCATCTTTGAATTCGTGGCGCCGCAATATGAACTAGGGTAAAACCATTTCCGACGGCTGAATCTGGCACTTTCGGTGACGAGCACGAGAGTTTCGGACGACGGGACGCGGGAGGGAGCAGCGGCTCACTCCTGCTATCTGGCCTATCATCATCCAACTATCGTTCCTCCTTCATAACGCTCGATGTCTCTCTCGTCGCTCATGGCAACGCGCTTAGGCCATGTGCTCCCCGCCAAATCTTGCGCTTAGTATAGGTCTAGCCCAATGTCAGGATATATTCCTACAGTATTGTAGAATCTTTGCCCGCTCAGTAATGACCCCTACAGTGTTCTGAGGATGTATATGCTATGCTGTCAATGGTATCCATTGTGTATTGAGAGTTTTACCTATTTGTGATTTCCCATTATGACGTCCTTAAATTGGATTTCAGCAAAGGGGGATGAAATTTGGCTATGACAATGATGTATTTGAATAGGTCCCAAGGTAGATCATGGAGTACCATGACCCTCACCCATTCTCTTTGAAAGATATCTATGAAAGCATTGTCTGATTGAGTTATTATTGAAATTTAGGTGCACACCAGTTGTCATAAGTCTAGGCCCTGATATTTAGCCTGGTTTGAAGTACTTAGGTTTATCTCAATATCAGTTAAGATGTTAGGCTTATAGTTTCAAGATTGCTTGCTTTTTCAGCAGGTTCTTGAATTGTTGTGCTACATAGGATGTCTCACTTTTGGTACATTCTTGGAACTTGGGCTACCTATGAGTTTGTTCGATACTTCATGAAATCAGCCTTGAAACTCATGATCTCTGGTACCAGTGAGAAACAAGACACTGAAGAACCTAATAACCTTCCAAATGCTTCAGAGATCCTATTTTTTCCTGATCAGAAGTTTGTACTAGGATTTGGAGACAGAATACAACCTGATGATGGGGAACCTTCACAAAATGTTGTGTAAGGATTTTGTGTTGTTGACTGCTATTATCAAAAAGCTTAGTCAAGCAAGTAACGAGTGCCTAGTGATGGTTGCTTGGGGTCTTTTGTTTCAGGCGAATGGTTGAGTACTTGAATAAAGCTGAGAGTACTCTGGATGTCTGTATGTATATCCTCACTCATCGCAATTTATGCAATGCCTTAATAGAGGCTTCATACAGAGGTTTGAAAATAAGATGCATAGTGGATAAGAAGGTTGCCTCTGAGGGTTATGGAGCTGGGGAGATGGTGGGAAACCTTAGAAGAAAAGGTGAGTTATATTCAGCATCTTCAAAATGTGGTAAATACCTGGAGTGTAAACATTCCAATGCTTGTCATATTTCAGGGATTGCAGTGCGATGCTTTGAGACTACCTTTCTGATGCATCACAAATTTGTGGTAATTGACAAGAAAATTGTAATGATGGGCTCTTTCAACTGGACCATGCAAGCAGTATGTGGAAACAATGATGTTGTGCTGATATCCAATCATGCTGATATTGTCAACCCTTTTGTGGAAGAGTTTGAGAAACTTTGGATCAAAGCTTCCCCCAAAGTTCAAGCAAGTCAGTGATTGGTTTTTCATTTTCTAATGTATAATATTTGAATAAACAGTTCATTGGAGAAGAATAGGAGCTTAGTAAGAATTCAAATGGACTAAAATGTGACTTTCATGTTTATTTGCTGATGAACTAGATTGTAATAGGTCGTGTTGCTTATCAGTGCAATGCCTGTTTTCTCACTATAAAAGGGTGATGATTACCTTGATGCTTATCTAATTATGTGGCCTGAAATTAAAATTGGTGCTTGTCAAGTTGATCCAATGTGTGTGAATTCTTTCTTCTTGAATAACCAAGGATATTAACTGATGATCATCAGATGGTCATCATCATTCTGAGACAGAAGTGTATATCATTTGCTTAAGGCAACTGATATACACTTCTGTCTCTTTTCTAACTGGGTATTTGTGGTTTTAGGCATAAATCATGTGATTCAGGGATTCTGAGGCTTTGGCAAGAATAATGTTGTGTGGCTCTGTTCCAGGTTCCTAATAGATGTGCTGTGGACCACAAAAAAAAGTCTGACCCTGTGCCTGTTTTGCCTGACAAGTATGAGTGTGGCTGAGGAGATCATTGCCATAAAGAAGCAGAAAGGGATTTATATTGAACTGATTTGTGAAGAGTCTCTGGTTCCTACTGGAGATTCACAGGTTCCAATGCTCCTTGAGGAAGGTACTGTCCTAGTCACCTGTCTGCATGCTTAGATGTTCTTTATGAATTAATCAATGAATGAGGGATAGGAGTTGCAGCATGAAAGGATTTCAAGAGATCAGGGAAACACAGTACTTATATCAAGAAGGTAGTGGTACCCAAGTTCTCCATGTATATTACAAAAAGTCAGAAAGTACTTTAGAAAATATTGTGGCTTGGCTGAGACAGAGGAGGATAGGTTTTGTTGTTTCTATCAGACAAAAAATAAAAAGTGGACGATAGTGGTCAGGACACTTAAACGAGACTGACAAAAATAAGCTGAAAATTACTCAGATCAGTAAGAAGTCTCATTTTGAGCATGCCAACATACATGATACAGCTGAAACTGAGAAGTAATGCCTCCTCAATGACAGTAGCTGGAGATTGACTCATCCCTGTTTTATAGCAGAAGAATTTTGTGATCCAACCAAATGACATTAGTTACATTGAGTTGGAGGGTTAGGATCCTACCTATGGGTATGATTGATTAAGATCTCTTCTGCCCATCATCTACAACATCTTGTTTTTTTCATTCATGCCTGCAGTTTTATTGTAGCTTAACCTTTTTTTTTTGCAGTTCCTCAATCCCACTTTTTGGTTCCACACATCATCAAAGCAATTATAGCTAGAGCATATATCATGCTATGACAAATTCAACCTTCTGGAAATTCTCAGAACATGAGCTCAATGTCATGGTCTTGATGCTCTTTCTCTCTGCCAAGCTGGTTTTGCACATCTACAAATCATGAGCTTCCTACTGATGAAACTTAGATGCTATTCCCTGAGCATGAAGCAGCTCATAGATTGAGCAACTCCAAGAACTGTGAAGGAATAGGCTCCATCATATCAAATTTAAGTATTGCTTTTGAAATAAAAGCTCAGTTCTCCTATTTCATATTTCATATTAATATTATGAATAAATATTTCATATTAATCATAAGCAGAGTTTATCACCCTCAAGGATAAATTGGAGAAGGGAGTTTATTCAGATAATGGAATCATTACCTTACCCATGTGAATTGAGTGAAGGGAGTTCAGTCAGATATTTTGCTAATAACACTACTAATTATAACTACAGAAGGAAGGTTTAGGACTGGATTTCATGCACAATGAGTCATAATAATGTGTTCAGAATATCTGAATGCAATTGATTTCACCTGACAGCAAAACGGAATGGATATTTGCACAAAAAAGCCGAATTGTTGTTCTTGCTTCTTGTACTTTATCTATGAAATATTGATGGCATGATTGTTTTGTGGATCCTTCAGGTATTAAAGTGTACACATTGGGAGTGAAAGGCCATGTCCTGCACCACAATGTGGCCATCATCGATGCAGAACTTGTCCTGCGGACATCTTTCAACTGGTGTGATTCCCACCTTGTGTGGTGCTTCAGCGGTGCTTTCTTGTTTCGTGATTCTGTGATGGTCTCTGAGTTTTGTGAGGAGCTGAACTCTTTGAGAAGCAAGAGCAGGGCTTGGCAAGTCATTGATGATCTTCCATCTGTTGTCAATCGCCATAAATGCTGTGTAGTTTTGTGAAGACAATATCTTTATCATCTGGGATTTCTTTTCTTTGTTGACATTCATTCAGGCATAAAGCTTTTACACTCTTGATCTCATCACTCATTTGATGCAATGACCTTGGTGATGCTAGAGAGTGCAAGGTAAATTTTTCTAGGAGGGGGGGGGAAAATACCAGCAGCTTCAGGAATAAAACTTATGCCGTCATAATAGCAATAATACTTCATATTTCACGTGAACCTCTAAATTAACCCTCAGAGTGTTACTGTACACAATTTCTATGATTGCACCCAAATAACCTAGAGATGGGGCTCATTTCCCATTTCCATCGAGATAGGAAATGGTAAGAATTTGACTGTCAGCAGTAGAAAAAAGTGAGACCATATGAATAAAAGGTACAGTAACTTAACCCTTCCCTGACAGGCCTTTTAAATGAATTTCATGGAATTGCTTGGTCTTCATTATTTCACTAAAAATATACTTCTGAACTTATTCTCATGGAATGGTAATCACAGGGACTGAAAAGTATTTAAAAATATGGGGCTGGGAATCGATTATTAAATTACAAGCCATTTAGACATATCAATCGAATTTTAATCAAGCTGCTTGATTAAAATTCAGGGGCGCAACCAAGGGGGTTTGTGTTCAGTGGGTCTGAATCCCCCCCCCCCCCCTGCTCATTATGGTATCTCTCTACTTCTTCAAGGGTGGAGGATGCAGAAAGATATCACGAGCAAACGACCTGAGAGCGGGGCAGGAAAGGCACAAAGGAGGTGAAAGGTTAAGGTAATGTCAGTCACATGTAACTATTCACTTTAGTGAAGTGAACCTGTGAAGGAAACGTCCTGCACATGTGACGCTATTAAATTTTTTTCCGAAAACCGAAGGACGATGATTCAAATAAAAGGCGTGAATCACGTACAGGTTAATGAATTTCCATTTACATGTCTGTGCAGTGATATATGGGATGAATCCCGAAATTAAATGATAAAACCACATTCAATATCTGAAAAAAGCTTAAAATGAACTAAATTATAGTTCAAATTCCATTTCCACCATTTCATAACATTTTTCTTCGTTTCATTTTCTTTGTTTGCGTTTTTGCTGAGTATATCTCTCCTGATGATTTGATAATGCCTGCTGCATTCGGCAACATTTGAAAGACAGGTCATGGGAACTTCGAACCCTTCCCCCTCCCCCCCTCTCCCCTTCCATATGTGATGAAAGGTGATAATTAAGTTAATTCCGAGTGGCTACAACAGTACTCCGAGGACGTGCCCGTGTGAGCAGTAGATAGAATGCCTAGAGACAGATTCGATTAATGGCATATTGAAGCATCTCTCATTCATCCTTACGGACAGAAAAGGACACTCGGTACCCAAGAACATTTTGACCCAGGAGAACAGAAATCTCCACGAAGAATGCAGCATCGTTTGATAACTCAGCATTTCAATATTTACACGTTTAGTCCAGACGGCGAAAGAAACCGGATTTTTCCCATTACGTCCGAAAATCCCCTCGGGTCCACCCGATTCCACGCAGAAACGAAGAGGCCTCGGCCAGGCTTTTAAAGATCATTAGGGGAATCGACAGCTTTAAACGAGCGATCGATTTCTCCGCCTCGGACGGCGGTACTAGCCGAACGAGAGGGGGCCGGTCCGGGTTGCGCAAACCGCTGACCGGTTGCGGAGTCGCTCCTTGCCGCTTGTTAAAGCGTGGAATGCGTCGAGTGGGTTCGTGCCTTCACGGAAAAATAAAATTAAAATAAAATAAAAATAGAACAGCAGGAGCTCTCAAAATGGTATTAAGTTTTTTTTTTCTTCTCCCCGAACTTCATTTTTTTTTCAAACTGACAGCAGTGCGCTTGTTCTGTTCCCTTCGCAAAAGAGCGCCGTTTTTGGCAGCCTTCATTTCGGTTCTTTATCGAGATTGTGCGCTGACGAATTTGGAAAAGAACAAGCATTCCGGAGGAGGTTTCGGAGGCCGATCAAAAATTTGATTCATTTTTAAAATCAAGATTAGAATTTTAATGAATTATTCTAATCGGCTCAGCAACCTTTAAATATAAAATACTACGATATGGTGTATTAAAAAAAAAGTTTGGCCCTGCTTGGAGTGATATGCTTAATTAAGCATAAGCATAATTAAGCTCTCGGATTAAGCATAAGCACGGAAGAGAATCCTTCGAGTTTTTTCATCATAGAGGTCTAACAAATTGCCTTATAAGCTTTCTTATTCATAAAACCGTGGTCGTAGGCAGCCGAACTAATTGGAGAGAAAAGTTTTGAGGAAACTGAAAAATGATCGAGAAAATGATGCATTTGCAGATTTGCATAACATCATGCTTCATTTTTGGTGCCTCCAGCTATGTAGCAACAAGAATCAAGACTCGAAAGGAAATCAAGGTATAATGAGCATTAGGTCACACTTCAGTCAGCTGATGACGATTTGCAGCTGCGATAAGGACTTAGCAGGTAGGGCAGCGACCGATCGGGAAGGCAAGGCAGGGAGAAAAAATTAATGGCTGAGGGAAGAAAGGCGAGGGGGAGAGAAGTGAATAATGCGAAGAGAGCGGGAAGACAAGAAATGGTCGAAGCGTTTGGAATGAGGGATGGCCAGGGATTGAAGGAAGACAAATGAAAAACGCGAAAAGATGAAACTCCCTTGAGGCACCGGGAAGATATGACTGATGTTGGATGTCTTCCCCTTTCCCCCCCACCCGCCAGCGCAAAGTGTATTCCCGCAATCCTGGAGGACCTTATTTGGCATCATTTGACCTTATAAGGGCAGAGGGAATACATTGATCTCCATCCCCCATCGGTACATAGCAGTTCGTGTGTCCTGTCAACTCGTATGCATCCTGTCACTGAGAATATCTGCTGATGTCTAGCGACGAAGTGCCCTGATTGAATCCTTAAACCCTTTGGCAAGCCAAAGAGCTCCTAGTTCAAACTCTTCATCTCCATTTTTGGGGGAAGAAGTAGCTGGCATTTCTTGTGAAGAATGCAGCAAGCATACAAGTTGAAGTCACATGCTGTTACAGAGGTCATTCACCGATTGATTAGACAGTAGGGAGGGCTTGAAGTATGAATTCAATAAAATCAATATTCCAGTCCAGAAATGAAAATATTGATCGAAGTGCTCCTCTGCAGAAAAACCTTTAAAGACCCCTTCAAATGGCTATTCTTCAATTTTAATAAGCTTCCCCCCCCTTTTGCCTCAGTTAACCCCCCAAACACAGGGTCACTTCATGTACCTGCTAAACTGGGAAGGTAAACCATAGTTACAGGAAAGCAGATTTTTTCTACTTCTGCTTGGTAATAATGCAATAACAATGACCAAGACTCCAAATATATGATGCTTGAATTCCTAGGTTCCTCTGGAGCTGCTTGAATGATGCAACTTGCAGCATCGATGCATGCCTATTTGTTCTGGCATCATCTGAAGTTGGGGAAGCCCTCATGAGAGCAAGTGCTCGTGGAGTGGCAGTCAGCATTCTGATCGACAGGGAGATGATGTCTTACCAGGGATCCCAGGCCCATAATCTTCTCAAACTTGGTGGGTGGATTTAAATTTTTTTCCTGCATGAGGCTTACTTTGTGTCTTTGTGTTCATTCTTCATTATTCATGATAAAAGGGGCATCGTTGATCCCTAGGCATACGCATCATGAGCCTGGCAACACCACTCCTCCTCCATCATAAATTTATCATCATTGACAACAGGATTGTCATTGATGGGAGTTTCAACTGGACCACCAAAGGATTGGCAGGGAACTTTGAGAATGCTATTGCAACCAACGACCCAAACACGGTTTGCCTCTTTGTTCAACAGTTCCAACGCATCAAGAGGCACATCATCGATGACTGCCTCCATGCACGCAAGGTGCACAAAGGAGAGGGTAATGTGATGACCACAGAAGATTTTATTCCAGAATAGACATCATAATAAGGGAATTTGCTCCACTGTATATTCAGGATTTTCTAGCACTTCATCCTCTTGTGGATTGCTTTCAGGAACTTGCTTGACTTTTAGGACTGTCTGACCAAGTTCTCCAAGTGCCTCAAGTTGCTGCTCCTACATAAAAATGAAAGCAGGCACTTGATAAGTTTCATGCAACTACTTCTACACTCATCAGCTGAGTAATATGTATAAACTATACATATTTTGGGGTTACTCTCTGATGACTTGAGTTTTTGCTCATGACCACCACCTTCTTAGCTACCAACTTACTATCCACAGCCCCTACTTCCATCAGAAGCATATGAGGATGGAATTTCGACATTTGCCTGACTTTTCCAGCCATACCAGGGCCTATTTCATTCCATTCTGTTCATGATGGCAGAAGTGAAAGAAAGAAATATGAAAAAGAACACATTTAATGCAAGAATGAAAGGAAACTTTGACCAAACAGCTGATCCAGAAAATTTATATGAACAAACTAAAAAATCTTAAGTCTAATACATCCTCCTTTGGATAGAGGTAAATGGAAGGAGAGTCAGGGATGCATTCAGAGCTATCTGTATCCTCTTGAATGCACTGATAGTTTAGTGCAGCAAATATGACTGGGCAGCCTTGATAGGAGTCAGCCTACAGGAGTAACAACTCCCTACTTAACTGAGCCTTAAAGCTTAATTGGGTTCGGTATGCTGTCGAGACAGCAGAGTTCCTCCTAAAGTGCTGTCCATGGTTCCCTGATCTTGGTGAACCCAGACATATCACTCTGTCTGGACTAGGGAAAGTGAAATTCAGATAAGACCTATGCTTGTCATGCCCTTACATATTTATTTCATGAGTTCTTGTCCTATGTCTTTGGCCATTCAGGTCTACCAATTGATAGTATGCCTGGAAACTGCATTTCAAAGGTGAACTTTGAAGCCTTCCAGGTTACTGGCAAGGCAGAGAATGAGCTCCCTGTTAAAAAAAAAACCCAGAGGTAATACAGGTGGTGACTTGCATGAAAACCTTGCTAAATGCAGATGCAGGAGAGCAGGACTGAAGGGTTACAACTCCTAAATGACCAGACAAAGAATATTACATGATGAAATCCCTTAACCATTGCTGGCAAGGCCAAGAGGGAATGATGAGAGATACCTCCAACTATGGACATCTACTCAGGGCAGGTTTGCTATCTGCATAGTCTTTTTGTATGATTTAAGTGGCATCATTGCCAACACCCACAAGAGGAAAAACAGATATTCTAGACTTACCATTTCAAAGAGATGTGTCCTGAGCTTCTTGAGGACATCTATGGTATTCTGAGGAGAGCTGAGGAGAGAACAGACCTGGGCATCTAGCAGGCATTTACACCACTCAATGTAATGCACTCCCTCCACACAAAAGTTGTCAGCCAGGAAGGCACACAGGATGGCTGCCTCCTGATCAGTAAGCCTCTGCAGGGCTCGTGTCAATTTGGGCACATCGAAAGGGGTTCGAGTTGCCACATTCAAGAGATCCTGCCAATTGGAATCCTGGTCACTTGGCCCACAATTGCGTAAGCACAGCTGGACGATGGCAACCAGCTCCACCTCTGAAATCTCAGGTGTTTTCATGAGGATTTCTTTCAGGCCTTTAGAATCACGCTTGGACACACAAACATCCAAGGACAGGTTCCTAAATGTAAACAGCTCAGTTACATGAGGCTTCATGAACAAATAAATAAAGGATGCATGTTGTGATATGTCTGAAGGCCTTACTGTTCATTGTCATCTTCATCTTGATCCATCCTCTCCTCACAGTTCTCTGCATCCCATGTGATAATGAGACTCCTCTTCTTACCTCCTACATTAACACATCACTCATGGTTACAAGACCAAACCAAATCATCCAAGAGCATAAAGATGGATCATACGTGGGCTGGAGGACCGTTTTCCAGAGTTAGACAGAATGAGGGCATCAGCAAGGCTTTCGGGTGTCAAGTGAGCCACACTCACTCGTACCATGCTCTGTGCAACTGGGAAAAGAAGATGAGGGCCAATGGACCAGAGCCGGGGAGGAGAGGCGTACATTTTCACTTGGTGCTTTAGGATGCAGACCCCATTGCGCACATCCCACACTTGCAGAGATGCACCTACAAGTCATCACATAAATGCTAAGTCATAGTATAGAAAGGCATCAGGAAAAAGCAAAGAAAACCAGCAAGGTGCAATCGTATCAACCTTCTCCATCAGTATCCTCTCCAAAGATAGCCATATGACCAACAAGATGCCCCAGAGCAGCCAAGGCAACTGGGGAAGAGAGGCGGAATGCAGCCTTGAGCAACCCTGACCACTCAACTGCAGGTCGATTCCAGCTTTCCTTCTTCACTGTTCCATCCGAAACTGCAACACAGCAATCAAGCCAGGAAAAAATCACATGAAATCATAAAATCACATGAATTGCATGCACTTTGAAAGGATGCAGTCCACAACTCACATATGCTGATGAGTGAGGTGACTTGTGGGATGATCTCCAAAAAGATATGTGCCATAGGCTTCTCTTTATTCTTGGCTCTCACCAATTTGTGAAATTCCTCTTCCTTGTTATAAGAACTAAGATTCAGTTTCACCCCTCTCCACTCCAGCAATTCCTTTAATAGAGAATCACACTTATAAAGAAAATGAAAAAGAGACACTACATCAACAGCTATATTTTTTATACAGGATTGGTGCGAGGAGAGAAAGTGATGTCAAGGAAGGCAGCTCCATCTGGAAGGATACGAAGATGGAATTCCTGGATCATGGATTTTGATGGTAGAACCTGGGAGACTTTTCTCTCAGGATGGGAACTCAAAGAGACTGCAATGGTCTCCACGCTTCCATTTGTGTATATCACCCAACCTCTGCCTCCAGCAACAAATGTTCTATGAATTTCCCCAGTTACCTAAGGGAGAAACATGAGAAAGATGAGTGAGGAACAGGATTTAAGGTGTACAAAGCCATGAGAAAGGCAGCTTACACGATGGGATCGCATGCGTCTCATCTTGGACTCCTTATCCCAAACCCAGAGTGTGTTGGGGGCTGAGAATGCAACATATGACTCAATGTCCAGGGCATAGATTACAGGCAGCTCATAAGCACTCCTCCCAGATGACCTGGAGAGACTTGGCTGCCATGTCTCCACCAATGAGGCAGTTTCTGCCTGGAATGACAAAGTGATTTTTGGTATCCACACCCTTTGATACACTGAAAAGATTGCTTATGCTTCCATTCTACCCATAATCTTCAGGCTATTTTTCTATTAAGAACTTCCCTCAAAATGAAGAATTTCAAGGGAAAATCGTTTGTGATGGTTCATGTCAAATTGAGGATGAAGATCAAAGCGTTGCAGCATATAAAAATGACATCAAAAAGAGCTAAAGCAGTAGAAGCAAGAGAAACACCTTGAACTTACATTATAGAGAGCAACATGATTCCCCAGAGTAGTCACAATGATGTTTTCCATCTCTGCATCCTGGGACACACCAATGACCTGAGATGACCTGGCAAAGGTCAATAGAGGCTTCTCATCTTGCATGGTGATTCTTGGAAGCCTGGCTTACCCAAGCAATCACTACAGATGGAGGTCCATAAACAGGAAAACTTATTTGGCAGGATCTGACCAAAAAAGATAATGCCACCCATAAAATTCTCATGAGCTCTTTTTAGGATAGAACCACCTCATTCAATTTTCTTCTATGTAGAAAGATTAAATATAAATAATTCATGAAGATTAAGAAGAGAAGTTCTTAAGAATATTTTGTTCAAACAAAGATTCCATAATAGCAAACATATCAGAGGCCCATGTTTGAAAAAATTCAAACATTTGGTTCTTAGCTGAACAGCATCCACATGAGGGTCTCAGCATGATTCAAACACAGATTAGTTAAGAAACTTCCATACTTTATTAGATTTAATGATTCTCTGCAATCAGAATTACATAGTATACACCATTTTTTAATTCTAAAAAGATAAATACATTCAAAACAACATGAAATACATGACCAGATTGAATTATTTGTAATCAATCTCACTTTTGTTGGCAAGGGCAATGGCATATTTGTTTTAAAACAATAACACTATCACACATCAATGAAAGCATTGGATTTCGTGGGATGAGTGACTGGAATGTGAGAAAGGAAGCATCACTTAAGGTATGGGACTAGTTCCTCAACAAGCTTGTGATTCTTGTGGATGTAGCACATAGTCTCCCACATTGAATTAGCCAGGACTTCATCTTGAGTCTCATCTAAATTGATCCAGGTGTAAAGAGGTGGATTGAGGCGAAAATATGGGACCCCCATTGTGCTGCACCAAGCACGAGCCCGATCCACAACACGATTGTCTGCGTTTGTAAGCTACAGCAGAAAAAAATAAAAACTTTTGAGAGATTGACAAAATGAATGGTCTAAAGACTTAAAACAAAACAAAAAATATGAAGATCAATATTACATGAGATGGTAATAGCATTCAGTCCAAAATGAATGCACATGTTATGCAAATCTCAGACTGACCTGGTCAGCAAGGAATTTGAGAAACTGGATAAGGCCTAATCCAGCTCTAGCAGCTCCTAGAGGGCTGTCTGGCCAGTGAATGTCCAATGGTTGGGACAGCTGCATAGATATCAATCCAGAATGAGCATAGTGTCAACCTTCGAACATGCCTCCTGCTCTAGAACTACACACAACCACCAACTTCTTGTCCACACTCACCTCAGAAGGGAACATTCGACCAGTTCCAAGAGAGACAACGACTGTTGGAGTCACAATATCCTCCTTCCTCTTCACAGCTTCCATGACAGCATTCCATTCATTCATCTCTGTCAGGAGATCCAGGGTTGGATTATTGCTGATTATCCCACCATCCATGAACCGTTCAGAGGCCCTGAAGTAAGTCGGGGCAGCTCCTGTTGCACGAGCAGCCTTCCACACAGACTGCTCTTCTGGTTTTGGGAAGGGTTTGAATGGTCCCACTTCAGGGATTCCTAAGATTTCCTGGGGGGGTGGGTAGTTGCGGAAGAGATAAAGGTCAGATGGGAGTCGGTCGGACATTGCAGCCGTTAGTACCACCCTGTAACAGTGGAGCAAAATTCAGAGCTCAATCTCAGTCACACATTACAAGCAGAGAACATTCTTAAAAGATCTAGTTTCACAGCATTCTCACTTGTGATTTTTCAAGTCAGTCATGACGGTGGATTCACCAAATTCATCTCTTAGAAAGCGTTCCAGGTTCTCCGTAGGGTATGGTCGTATCTTCCCTACAAATACCTTGTCCTTCAGGTTTAGATATAATCGCTGAGCCTCTCGTACAGACTTCCCTAGAGTGATGATGGCTCATGGCTGAGACAGAAACAATTGATAACATGACTATTTTCACAGGCTTATCTTACCAGATGCAATCATGAGGGCCAGAATTCCACCAGTTGAGGTGCCAGCAATCCAGTCAAATGCTGTGGCGATGGGACGTCCTAGCATTTCCTCGATGAAGATGAGGACTTGGCAGAGCATGAGGCCCTTGATCCCTCCACCATCAAGACACAAGACTCTCACAGGCTTGCCATTCTTTTCACTTGCATTTTTTTCCTTCCTCCTTTCCAAGAAAATGCCATCGAGGGCTTTGTCAAAGGCATCACGCTGCCGTTCACACAGAGCATGATCTGAGCCAGCCTGATCCTTTTGATCTGGCTGTCCCTGAGAAGGGTCTTCCACAGGTGAGAGACTCATACCAGGAAACTTCCAGTCACCATTGTACTGACCAGCTGCACTGCAACTGTCAGTGCATTCTGTCTGGATTGGTGGACAGCGAGGAGCTCCGACAGCATGCAACACATATAGGGCCTTCTTCCTCTCTTGATTCACAGTTCCACCTGTGGCCAACAGATGCCTTGGTAGTTGACCAGCCTCATTCACAGCCTTCAAGTCTGACCCGAACACAACCAATGCCTGCAGAGAGTATGAAACAAAATAATAACAGAAAAACTACTTCAGTGGCCAAAGCAATGAGTCAGAAGTAGCTGGAGGCAACATGACCCTAACAACTGGATGCTGTCAATGGCAATCTGGTCAGCCATGTTGGATTCAGCATTACACACATAGGGATGGAGCAGTCAATTGACCACCTTTTAATTGACTGTTATTGGCCACTCTTTCAGGGCATAAAATTATTCTCAGAGTCTGTGATCAAGGGACAAGTAAACTTACTTGGATCATGCCTAATTCCATGCCTAAAAAAAATAATCTAGCTTTGAAGAACTTCCTTCAGGAAGGCAGAGGCTATTTTTTATCTGGCAGGAACACGAATAAATACTAATACCAGAAACCATGAAACTCCAGTTCTGGACACAATGTGTTGCATTGCTCATTATTCAGAGTACTTATCTTAACTAGTCATAGAATTTGCCCCTGAAACATGACAGATTACTGTTTAATGTTACAACTCATGCAATCTGCATGGTAAAGTCTATCTTAGCAATGAGAAGTTGACTGGTCAACATGGTCATTTATTATCATATAGTCATAAGGCCTAACCTCTTGTTGGGCTTGTTGACCATTACTGTCCATAAATGGTCAGAAATGAACATGTTGACCAGTCAACTTCCCATGCCTAGACTATCACTTGTGAGTCATGACATACAAACAGAGCACAAACTGTGCAGGAAAAAAACAAAATAGAAGTTGGCCTATTGACCATACTTGACAATATTGATCAATCAATTGACATGTTTTTAATTTACCAGTCAATAACCAATCCCTATACTCACATGATATAGACAAGTCTATAGCCTATCATGCTTCAAACCTGAATGATGGGGATGTTGGGGTTGGCACAAGCAACATGTAGGGGCGTGTTCCCAAATTGGTCCTTGGCATTCACATTGGCCCCAAGTGAGAGGAGAGTCATCACACACTCCACTCTGGCCCTTTGTACCTAGGCGAAAAGAATGAAATTTGTTAGGTGCACATGTGAACGAGCCCAAGAACAAGAGAGAACAATGGTAAGCAATATAATGCAATTATGGAATCCTTCACCTGGAAGCTCCATCTCCCTTGGAATAGAATTCAACAATTTTAACTAATGTCTTTATGCATGTATGCAAAATGCTTCTCTGCAACATAAAACCAACCTACAAGAAAAATAGATGCTATTTTGGATGTACAATGGTTGCTCTACCCAGAATCACTCACCATAACATGGAGGGCAGTATCCCCCTGAAAATTGGTGGCATCAATGCAGCAACCCAGATTCACCAGGGCTTCCACCATTTTCCTTGATTTGGCCCAATGTAAAGGAGTTCCTCCATATTTCATGTCCTGAAAGATGTCCAGAGGGTTTAGCAATATTAATAGTACTTACTGGCTACCAGCAAAACCAGTCTGAAAGTTGAGAAAGAGGGTGTTTTGCAGAGGACCCAAGCTCATGAGAAAATATGTATGTGGCCCTTTTGCCAGTTTCAAGGATAGATGCTCCTTTATTTTTCTTTGCTCACTTGGGCTACTTGCAGATCAATGAGCCATCAAATGAGACAAAAATTACTATTCATTCTATAATCTGATGAAGATGTAACAATTTTAACTTTGGAATTGCAAAGTTCCAAAGATAAAGCTTTATAGTTTGTTTCAGTGACAGTCATTATTATCTGTTTCCATGCATCCTGTGAAACACATGCACAATTACATAAGTCATCCAGATAAGTATGTGGTACATCAAATCCCACTTCCCTTCACAAGGAAGTTGACCAAAAATTCCCTTTTTTTTTATGTACCTAAAACATTTTTGTTGATCATATTTTTCCATGTGGTTGATAAGAAAAATAATGAAAAAATTATCCTTTCATGTTGGTTATTCCATTGTACAGTAACACATTTCAATGCAAAACAGAGTATGCCATATCTGACACACCATGTAGTGTAGAGTTAAAACATATATATGAAACCTCTGGGGTGTAGCTTCATCTCTCACCCAATTCATTCATTCTTCTCATATTTTAAATTTATTTTTGTGCATCAGAGCTTCCTTGAGGTCATAACTCATGGGCTAACATCAGCAAAAGCAGCTAGGAAGAGGAGCCTTACATTAGCATGCAGCTGATTAGGGTATGTGGTAAGGATTTCCTTTGCAGAGTTGCCATTAGAGCCTTCTAAAGCACTGTTAATGGGAAGAGGACCACAGCCCATGGCATTCATGTTGGCACCTGCACAGATGAGAGCCTGCACACAATCGGGCTTGTCGGCAAGGCACGCCAGGTGGAGTGGCGTGTTACCCTCATCGTTCACGTGATTGATCAGTGGGGAATTTTTTCCAGCCAAAGCCTGAAACACAAAATGGGAAATTTCAATCAGGATGAGATACTTTAACTCCAAAAGGAAAATGTTACATGATTGAATACACATGGTCCACCTGTATGATTTCTTTGCTCATTGTAGCAGCATGATGGAAGACAGTGCTACCAATCTTGTTGCAGATGTCTAGACGGGCATCCAGGTTCATCAATGCCTGGACTACTTTTGTATGCCCTTCTTTCACAGCCAAATGGAGTGGAGTTTCTTCATCATCATCCTGCTCGTTTATGTACCTATCCATGTAAAAATGAAATTTTCCCATCAAGTTGATGAACTGCCATGATATCAATGATGGATATAAGCTCACGTCTGAATGCCTGCATGCTTAAAGAGATCAGGCAGATTGAGATAAGCTGCAACATGTGCAACTGTCCAGTTTGGATGGTCCCTCAGAACATCAAGGACTTTTTGGAGCATTCCAGCATTCCAGATATCTTTTGAACAGTTAAGGAGCAAAGGAAGCTTGTCATGGAGACTATAAAATTCTTCCTCTGCTTCCTTCAGGTTGTGAGTTCTCAATATACTGAAAAATGAAAAAATAAAAATCGAATTTCACAATCACCAAATCAGCCACACGTTTTCGACTTTACATAAGCCCACAATTGAGCCTTTGGAAGCATAAGGCTAGGCTTCTAGGAACTGACCTGAAAACTTGAATGCTGCTACTTGAATTGGGTGGTTTGAGGACAGCAATTTCATAGAGACCTTTTTGAGGCCCATAAACCATGAGGTTCTCCTCTCTCAGATGAATTGGGAATTTTGCATAGTCGGCAGCATTTGCTTCCTTAACCGTGTTCGGTAACGACGAGTCGTCCCTTATCCATCCCAACACTGACCTTATCAAGGACATTTTTGCTCTGTCTTCACACCCCTACGGCCGGGCTGTGTGCCTTTGGCCTGTCTGTAAATACATTAGCATAGCAGAGACGAAAAAGGTTGCCTAACCTCTACTTTATGGGTCGAGGCTAGCCTAACATAGGCACAAGACTGGTCCTAATGGTTCAACTGTTATAAGCCTATGCGTGCAAACTCTTGCATCTCAGCACGTGTACGTCAAACATTTGGCCCATGAAGAAAGAAATGCACAGGTGCCCGTATGGTAAAAAAAAAAGGGAAAGTCCACGTTATAAAGAGATCCGGCTGGACGCGGGCACGTGCACCGTCACAGCGCAGCCATTTTCCGAATACCAATCCGTTCATGTGCCTCACCCTGCGACTCGGTCCCGTGCCATGAAGACTTGGACGAATGGCACGTTTCTTACGTGGGCAATGGAACCGTGGCGTGGTGGGCAGAGGGTCCTTGCTTCTCACTTATCAAGGTGATTAATTTGAGTGATGATCGAAGCTTGTGGGGAAGGGAATGGGAGTGTTTGAATGAAAGCTAATGGACTAGTGAGCGGGGAAGAAAAGTTAAAACTCTTTCGGAGGAATGGTCGACCCAGTGGCGTGCCCAAGGGGTAGGTTTTGGGGGTCATAACCCCCCTCCCCCTCCCTGGGGTCAATTTTACAGGTTCGATTCTCAAAAATTTTTTATTTGGCCACAAATACAGGGTGGATTATCTGTGTTTTTCATATGTTAACCCCCCCCCCCCCCCATTAGGGTGGGTAATCAGTGTTTCATATGGCGACCCCCCCATTCGGATTTGCTGGGTACGCCACTGAGTCGACCCAAAATGTAAGGGAAGCTTCTGAAGGTGTGAGGAGTTGAGCGATGAAATTTTGTATGGTGGTTGTTGGTTGCACTGCGACAGGCCGAAGAGTTTCGTTCGTGAGAGCCTTGATTGAGTGAGAACCATCGGTAAACACGGCCTGCTCTTACGAAAATCCCCGAAACTGAGACAAAATCTTGTTTAAGCCCGCCGTCACACGAGGCAATTTTTGTTGCTCCACCGTCGCACGACCGTCGCAGATGAGCCCCCAGAGGCACACGGAGGATTCTGCAAGCAATGAGATTGGTCAATGCTAGAATTGGGATACATCAGCCAGGAATTTTTTTCGGGGGGTGTCTTGTGAGGTTCTTTCAGGCTCATGAGATGACGAATTGAGAAGCCCCCCCACTCTCATACTCCTTGTTTCATGAAATCTTCACTTCGGGGGGTGTCCAGGCACTCAGGACACCCCCCCTGGCTACGTCCCTGGTCTACATCTCACCAATATCGTAAGACCCCCGCACACGGAGCAACAGTCGAGCGACGGCAATATTTATCGCAGGGAAATTAACAGGGAGCAATGTCCTGCAATGGTCGCGCGACCATTGCAGCACCCCAGTACACAGAGCAATTTCGTGTGGAGCGACGGGATTTAGTCATAGCTCAAAGACCGAATATTTAAAAAATAACATTCGTTTCAAAGGTCCCATTTTAAAGCCACTGCAAATGGGAATCTGCCCGCGCATAGGAAGGTAGAGCTGCGGACTGACAGTCGTCCGTTTCCTCTCGTCTCCGATGGAATGCTTTCTCCTCCTTCCCCCAGAAGGCCAGGCGAGAGAGATCTCATTCCTAACGTTTCCTAAGCTAAGCCTTAGGTTGGTGCCTCGTCCTGGAAGAGGGGGTCGCCAACGTTTCCTAAGCTAAGCCTTAGGTTGGTGCCTCGTCCTGGAAGAGGGGGTCGCTAACGTTTCCTAGGCCTAAGGTCGGAAGATGGTAACTCCGGGTTAAGCCCACGTCAGCCTGTGGTACTTTTCAATTAGGCCTTACGGTCATCTTCAACTTCATTCGATGCTGCAAATTAAATTCAGACTGTTTGACTACCGTAACTTTTAGTCTTCTGCACGATTGAAAAAGCATTTCGATTGACGACAGTGGGTACAATACGTTCGCGAAGCGTGATACAGAGAAACGGAATGAGATCGCTCGAACCCCCAATGCCTGAAGAACGAATATTTTAGAACCAACTCACTTCTGAAGTCCTCCTGTAAAGGCCTACAACTAAGGCTGAATCATATAATCCTCTGATGCATCGCTTTTAACACGCGCAGACTTTTGCATTTAATACCAGACCTACGCGGAGGTGATCAAAAGGTATGCTTCTGGAGTGCTGTCACCAAAGAAAATGGTTCGTTTCCGGGATGACGTGCAGGTTTGGGTCGTGCCCTCAGTAGAGAAAGCAAGAATTTATGAGGCAATCTTTTGTTAGAGGGGGTAAGAATCGCATTTGAGAAATGGCCTGGACCGCATGGAAACTGGGTAGGCGTTCGTCTGGCTGTGAGTCGCCAGAAGGGAGGATTTTCCTCTCCTAGATTCTCAAGTTTGCAAACGAAAGCATTCATGAACCGAATGTTCTTTTAATATGTTGACTTTTTACTCCTTTCACGTTCTTTTTCGACGTGTTCGCTGAGTGAAGAGGGAGGAGCCGGTTGGCCGAAACTCGTCAAGTGAACTTGGCCTTATTTGCGCGTTGTCAAGGGAGCAAGTTCACCCGAACCTCTGACAAATTAGGGTTGCGACGCGCACAGAATGCAAATGCATTCTGGTATGCAGACTAAATCGACCGAAATTCCTTTCCCCAAAAGTGACGATGACGATATTATATTTATTTACATATTAGGCAAACATTGAACTATGACATTATTATCACAATATATGACTCAGGGAATTATTAAATGCTGAAGTTAAGTGTGGGAATAAAGGAACGTACGGGAATAAGGAAGAGTGAAATGCTGGACTTCTCCCTAGCTCTTAGTTCTCAGCTCTTGCTTTCGCACGCGGACACTTGATAAGGCTCTTCCGGCCTGCTGTATCCTCAAACGCCTTTTGATCTTCGGGGCATCTGCCCTTAACCCTTCAGATAGGATGTAAATATAACATGGACTTTAATAAAATAAAACCTCACTGACTCATAAAGTAAAACGGTTAGGACCCTTTAGATCTCATTCCTCTTCGGCTCAGGTGGACCTGAACACTAAGCGCCTAAAAACACTGACGCTAACCTAAATAAATTCGGGTTGCTTTCTCGATAAGGCTGCATGGTTCCTTACCCTTTAAATTCCTAAAGATAACAAACCTCAAAGGAGAGATCCTGGAGGGTAAGCAGCTCTCTCTCGGGCTGACTTCTCAGCCATAGCCATGAGTCACCTTCTCAGGGCTACGTCATTAGCTTCATGAGGGTCTTGCTCTCTGCCAGCCCTCATGTTGGGAGGATTTCACCGTGGTGGGCGAGAGTCATGTGTCGGTCCACCACAATGACAGCGGGGCACACCATACCTTGAGCTCCTAACTTAAAAGAAAATGTATATACAGAATAGCTCTTTAAAGTTCTGCTCTTGCATTCAGGGTTTCAGAGTTAGGTGCGGAAGAGGGGAGTAGCAGGTACTCTTGGGTACCTTTAAGGAAGAGTACTTGTGCACTCTTCTGAGTATCCCAGATTTTTCTCAAATGCAGGCAGTATATATATATCATAAAAAATAGCATGATTTTTAACGAAAAATTAATTAATTAGACATAATATTGATATAAACATGCTGCTTGGGATGCATAGGGAATGTCAATTTCACGTAGAATTCTTGTCAATTTTACATCACCGTTTGCGTATCACAGAGGTGACATTTCCGCAAACATGTTCACAATATACTGATGAAGGTTTGTTTAAAATAGATATAAAATGGGAAAAAATGCATATCAAATTTATATAACATTGACGTAAACATGCTGCTTGGGTCTGTCTCCGTCTGGGGACATGCTCCTGCTGGCAACCGAGAACGTGCAACAAAAAATAAATAATTGTAACATTCAATCATGCTTTTATTCCATTTTCATTCTATCATGAAGTGATTTTGATGCAACTGTGCCACTCGCATTCATTCAATATCACTGACTCCCGGCACGAAATGGTACCTGCTTCCGCAAGTACAAATCTCCTTCGTCAGCCTGGCGAGGGCATATTTCACCGACAGTATCCCCTCTCCATATGCCCAGGCCGATTCGCCGGTTCTGTCACATGTCACCGTTACTATAGGAACGACGATGCCATCGTCATTCTCCTGTTCCTCATAGTGAACGGAGCAGGTTTGCTCGGCCATGCTGAAAATTCAATATAGATCAAGACTATTCGTCAACGCCTTGAAAACGGCCCGCCAAGCAACACGATTTCTGGGACTCAAGAAGTCGTGGAGGCCAGGCAAAAACACAAACTCAGTACGAACTCGGCGAGGTCTCATGCGATCGATCGCACAAATCAGAAGGTGCGAAATATGTCTGGGTCATGGGAGAGGCCGGAATCGATGCGGTCTGTCGTCTGGCAACAAAAAAAAAGGAGCAAGGACATCCATCGATTCTGCAAGACTATAAGTTAGTTGAAAGATATTACATAAGTTGGTCTTCCAGAAGATTCGTCAGTGGGTTGGCCAACTTCAAAATGCTGGTTCGATTGCAGATTGGCTTTTATAGAATTACGGCCCTATCGATAACGATAACGCAACTCTACGTAACGTTCGATTTGAGGGCGATCGGTTGTCGATTCGCCAATCATTGGCCGATTCATCATTAATGGTGGTTTCATTGCAAACAACGGTTGCCTCTCGATTCACTTGCTTTTCCTTCTGTCGACACTTGCTTAAGGTACACATAAAATAAAAAATAAAAACAATTAGGGACGAAGTGGAATCCCGTATGCATTATTGAAATTAGATTAATTGACATGTTTTCTCCGTTAATATTCATCCCACACACTTGAAATTCTAAGCAATTTCATAGTATGAGGTGGTGTACCAAATTTAATCAAGATCGCTCAACTCCTAGTTGGGGCTTTTTTTTTACGATGAGTACATCTCACCGAGTGGCTCATTAGTAATGAATAAATCCTGTCTATATTTTTTTTTACTCCAGTCGTTCAACATCTGCCCTGCGTGAAAGGCCAGGTAAGAATGTCCTCGGCATCCTATATGGAGAAGGAAACGATTGCGTCCAGAGGA